CCCCCCCCCCCCCCCCTCAAGGATGATCTCACGACGATCTCGAGGAGGGCACACGCCTGCAAGACAGAAGAAGCGAGACGGGTGCCGGGAACAGACAAGACGACTGCTGTGCAGCCACCGCGTTGAAAAGTGCGGAAGCAAGGTCTGCTGCTGTCAGTCAGCGCGTGGAATTGATGTGAGGCATCCAATGGCCTTGGGGGAGTAAACAATTTTCCTCCTGGTTGGAATTGCTGATTCATCGTAGCGTATTAAGGAGGAGGATCACACTGGGACACCTCATCATTTCTACCGAGTCCGAGGCACAGAGAGGAACTGCTTTAACGATTCGGGAGCTCGAGCCCGCCTAAACGCAACGAACATTGATTAGAAAAACGAAGAAACATATATACGGTCATGTTTGTGGTTAAAAGATGACTATGTGTATAAACAAATACCGAGACGAAGCAACAACGAAACCAGCAAACACTCACGACGCCCGTCCCTCAATTCCGGCAGCCTTCTTCTGATCTCGAGAGTAGCTTGCGCATGCCCCCTCGAGACCCAACGCTGCTCCTCCTCCACGCGGGTCTCGTTGCTTAGCTCGGGGGCGTTTCGCACAGGGGACATGAAGTGGACCTGTCAAAAGAAACAGAGACGAGGGGAAAATGGTGATCACCATCAGCCCGGACAGCCTCGTCATATTTGTAGATATGACGCCAACCCCCCGTTGCGGACACCCACTGGCGTCGTATGGGCGCTCTGCAGGGGCCCCGTGAGTGTTCGGGGGGGTGCTCATACTCATAGTCGTGCATGCCGTAGTCGTTAGACCATTGACCTCGCATCCCTACAAAGCCGGGACGGAGCACGCCGGGTTCTCACCGGACCAGGCTCTCACATCACCAAGCGCGAAGCGCCGTGAGATATTCGGCGAGTCGCATGAAGGGTGCGCTGCATCCTGCTAAGGGTGTTCGGCATCTTGTGCTTACTTCCTTGCGTACGGATGACAGCTACGTATGAATTAATATATTTTCTGGTGCTTTCACTTCCAGAGACAGTTGTAAGCACTGTGTAACTGCCTCGAGGGTGCTTGACCATTTTAACACAACGTGGTGCGATCATCCCCCTTGCGCGGAGTGAGGATTGTCGACCCCGCACAACATGATCTACTGGAACACCAGTATGGTTACCGCCAAAAACAATACCGGAGGTAAAAAAAAACCCGGTAACCTGGTTGCCGAGTTCACGAAGTGAATTGGCTTGTTTTACAACGTCGTTGCCAAGCGACGAA